AACTCATCATTTCCGCCTCTGTGCCAATCCATCTCACTGGGGGTCTTCCTCATTTTCTCCAGCCCACTACTTTACCAAACGTAATATCCTTCTCCAGTGACTAGTTCCCTACTGACAACATGTCTGAACTATGACAGACGAAGTCTGGCCATCTTGGCTTCCAAGGAGCATGCAGCCTATACTTCTTCCAACACAGATCTGTTTGTTCTTACTAGATATATACATATGCAGAAATATATATATAAAGTACATAGTAGAAAACTCCTACTAGATATGTACCTATACAGAAATGATATGTTACTTTTGTTATTAAATGTTTTAATCCACTATATTGAAGATCGTGGTGTCATTAAATAGTTTTTAATATTTATATAAATTTAGATTTTGGTAGCTCTTTAAGTTTAAAAAAATGAAACTTGTACATGTAAACAATGAAAAGGTCATTGTTTATCACAAGTTGAGTATAATTATAAAAGCATTTTCACTCGTCTAAACAAGTGCAATTCCAGTTCTTCCCACTTCATATTAACCTCAGGGGAAAGGTGCTAACTTTTGTATTTTCACAATCAGATGCTCTTAATTAAAACTTGCCTCGGTGATGGTTGTAGATCTGACCTGGTGAACAGATACCTAGGCTGTTTAAAGGCCAATTTGTCCCCATTAGATTCACATTCACATGCTTTAAATTGTATTTATTGTGTTAGCATTTGAAAGATGAATAAAGCAAAGAAAAAAAGTGTCTGCATATCATGAGTAGGGTATAAAATGATTCTTGATTTTTCTCACATCTCTAAATAGAAAAACTTCCATTTATTAACATTTCAAAGCTCTAAGAGCCACACTTGCTTTTATTCATGATACATTTCAGGTTTAAAATGAGACAATATATAAACCTTCTTAGCTGAGAATTAAATATTGTGCATCAATATTTTAACATCAAATATTGTGTAGTACTCTAGTGTATTTTTTATTATTGATTTTTTTAAGTCTTTCCCAATTATGACTTTACTGAGTGATGACTTGGCAGAAGCTAACAAGAAGTTATTTCTAAAGTACCAGGGAGCAGAGGATGCTTTCCCATCCTTCTTCAAGTCTTCAGTGCCAAAGGATAAGGGTCATTCCTTCAGTCTGTACTATGGGTTCATCATGATCTGGTTCTTATTTATATACCTAGACTTGCTTCCTAGCACTTCCCTTTACAATCTCCCTACAAATACAAACTGGATTACTTGTGTGCTTGAATACACATCATATCATGAGCATTCCGACTTCTGATTCATTTTGATCTCTTGGATTGAAAAGGAGCATCATCTCCTTCTTATTCTCATTAATCCTACCTTTTCTTCAAGTTAAAGATCAACCTATTTCCCTTAGTTGATCTTCCAACGGCATCAGTCCTCACTTTCTTTCTCTATAAGAAAATAGCTTTTTATATCTAACTTTACAAAATAAAGCAATGAAGTTTCTAAGGCATGAAGGTAGAACTTCTTATAAACTACTGACATGTTCTCATCTAAGAAAAATTTTTAGCAGATATTATGCAGGAGAAAGACATACTGAACATGTTCCAAAGTAGCCAAAAGAACTGATTTGCACAAAATGCAGCCCATTAACACATTGCCTTGATCTGAAATGGCAACAAAAAAAGTAGTAAAATGATTTTCATGCCAATTTCAAATATTAATGAAAATGTCTTACATATTAGCCCAAAATGAATAAAAGCCTAAGTGCAATTATAGTCTATAAAAAGAGTTAAATATTTCATCAGACAAGGAAAGTAATGACTTAGGCTGTTTCTTTTTTCCCTCCCTCCTTCTCTGTGTCCCTTCCTTCTTTATTTATTCCTTCTTGCTTTTTTTTTTGTTTTCAGTTTTAAGTCTGTGTAACTCATATTTTACAACTTGTGGCTCATTTTAGAGGTTATCAGATTTTGATTTATCCTATTATTTAAAATAAAGTGCTCAAGTCATTTAGATTTTTTTCTGGACACAATCATGAATGTCTGTACTTTGAATGGGGGACTGATAATCATATGCTAGAAAGAACCATTTTTATAAAGAAAGTGATTACTTGACCTGAAAAAGGAACTTGAGGACATAGTTTTTACAGGGCATTTAGTATGAGACAATTCCAACTCTTCTCTCAGGAAAGGATACCGCTCGAGGTTGAAAGAAATGGCGGAACAGTTGTTTATTATTTTGGGTGTTGTTATTTGATTGTTACAGGGTTACTCAGTGATGGTATTACTTTAAGCACTATGATGACTGAGGACTTCAGAAACACCTTTTGACACATTGTAGATCCATTAGAAATCCCAAATAAAATCTCTTTAAAATGATGCACTCTTATATTTTTACTTTATTTATGCTTATCAAGAAATTGTTTGCTGTTTTGAAGTGTCATTGAATTGGTTCCAATTCATAGCAAACCTGTATAGGGTTTCTATAGAGAAGCTGGTTGGTTTGAACTGCTGACTTCGTGGTTTGCAGTCCTGTGCTGCTTCTACAGCATCACGCCAGGAATCCAAAAAAATAATTATTGGGTGCCAATTGTCCCAAAGTCCTGGTGTGGTAGTGTAAGATAAACACTGGACAGCTAACCATAAGTTTAATGGTTCAAACACACCAGCTACTCCTCATAAACCCTATACAGGGTTGCTGTGAGTTAGAACCAACTCAATGGCACTTAAATACTACAACCATTTTTCTGGTATGGTTTAGTAAAATAAGCACTGGACTGCTTACTACATGACTGGCGTTCAAACCCACCAGCCAATCCTTGGAACACCTATACAGGGTCTCTATGAATCAGAACCAACTCCATGGCACTTAACACAAACAAATTGTCTTTAGATATAATGTGTAATTTACAGGGATATAAGGAACAGTGCGATACTGGTGATGAAATTGTAAAACTCAATATGACTAGGTTAAAGGGCACTACTATTTGCCCAAGTAATTATTTGGTAATATTTAGATATTTGAGGAGTTAAAACAGAAATGTGAGAAAAATATCAGAGAAGAGGTTGGATTTTTGTAGATGGTAGTCAGAAAAAGAGAGATAGGGAATATGTATGCTCTCCAAATACTCTTAACAGTTCCTGTTGAACCTATTCTCGCTGATGCTTTGCTTAAAGAGATTTGGAATATGTGTAAATATCGCTTGTTGATTTTTTAATGAATTATTTTGAATTACTACTGAGTCCCCTCTGAATCAAAAGGATCCCATTTACGACAGAACCAATGGTGACTTGTTTTGTGCTATTTATTGTTGAGGCTTTTTTAAAGTGCCTTCTAACTTCGGGTCTCATCATCCAGCACTCTATCTGACATTATTATGTTGTGATCCATTGGATTTTCATTAGTTAATTTTCTGAAACAGATTGGTAGTCCTTTCTTTTTAATCTTAGTTTAGGAGATCAGCTGAACCCTGTTATCCATGAGTGTACCTCTGCTGGTATCTGAAACACCCGTGGAACAGTTTTCTGCATAACAGCAACACCTAAGCCACCATAATACAGCAAATTGACAGATGGTTGCTAGTTGATTGAGTTAGTAATTTTTGTTGTTGTTGTTTAAAATCCTCTTCATTTCCTCTGTTGTGTTAAATTAGCATGGGACCTAGGATAATTTCTGAGTGTTTCATATTTCATATGATTTCATATCAGGTATAATAATGATACATCAAAGTTAAGTCCCTTTAGTCATCCATCCTAACTTTAGAAACACTTGAATGAGATTAGGAAGTGATCATCATTTACATTTATTATACTCTGCATTTAACGAGCTATAGCTATTAACTCTAATTTGCTTCTCATAGCATTCATCAAAGGCGAACTATTTAGAAACTAAAACATCTCTGTCAGAATTTTAATGAATTAAGATAAAATGAGACAGTGCTAATTGGCAGTTGTTGCTGCAGGGGAGGTTGTAGATCTTGTAAGTGATAGAAATTCATCTCACTATCAGGGTTAATTTGATTGGTTTAATTCTATGGATACACTAAATATTTCCCCAAACTGCTCATATTTATTTTGAGAATTTGAGATTGATTTGGTTCTGTTGCTCTTTCATCTGGATTCTCAATTACATTTGAATTTGATTTAATTTTATTTTTAGCAAATTGCTGTCTTAACTAGTGTCTTAGTTATCTAATGCTGCTATAACAAATACTACAAATTGATGAGTTTAATAAGCAGAAATATATTCTCTCACAATTTAGAAGGCTAGAAGATCAAATTCAAGATGGCAACTCCAAGGGAAGTCTTTCTCTCTGTGTCAAATCTGGGGGTCCTTCTCTCCTTTCACCACCTATAAGCCCAATGTTCCTTAGAGATCTACATGTGTGTTGGCATCAAGCTACCCCAGGGTCTAAGAGGTTCTCAGCACAGAAACCTATTTCCAAAGAATGAGCTTCTCTCCCAGCTCATCTTTCTTTAAGGTAGTGAAATCTCTCACTCCCTGCTCAATTGTCTTTCCTTTTATCTCTTGTAAGATAATTGATGATGCAAGTCATAGCACAGGAAAACTTTCCTTACCTTAGATCAGGGTACAAGGGGATTAAGATGGGTTAATGCACCAAACTACAAAGCTGTTTGAACTGCATGTCGGTGAGTCAACCTCACCAGCTGCTCCTCGGAAACCCTATACAGGGTTGCTATGGGTCGAAACTGACTCGATGGCACTTCACAACAACAACAACAAATCCCACCTTAATACTCTTACAACTGAGTGCTGATCATATAAGATCACATCATGGTGGAAGATTATATCATTATATACATGTCAAACTGCTGAGAATCATGACCCAGCCAAGTTGACACAAATTGGGGGGTATATAACCCAATTTATGACAAATAGTAGCTGTGTTAGTGACGTAACACTCAAACCTCCAAATCGTAGACTTTATTAAACCTTCTTTTGTTTAAATTGCTTAAAAATCTTCAGCATCTAATTGATTATTTTACTAAGAATTGTCTTTCTCTGTTCTTTTTTTCTCAGACATAAATGAATGTGAAGCTGAGCCTTGCAGAAATGGTGGAATATGTACAGATCTTGTTGCTAACTATTCCTGTGAATGCCCAGGTGAATTTATGGGAAGAAACTGCCAATATAGTAAGTATTTAAATGTATATTATTTTATTCATATGGCTTTCATTCATTATGGAAACAGCTACATTAACATAATTTGCTTACAGTGTGCATAAATAATTGAAATAGCATATTTCATATTTGTTATTCATGTTATTGATATAAACATATTTTATGGATGTGTCTCACTTAGTACACAATATGAATAGTAATCTACATACTTTAATCTGAAAGGAATGGCAATATTCCTCAGAGAAGCAAAGCTACCTCTCATGAATATTATTTTGGATTTTGAACAGTGTATGACTTACATTTTTACTGCCAGCATGTTTATTTTGTTTGTGAAAATTATTCACAATACTATAACCAGATCATTTCTATAACAAATTAAAATTGGAATAAAAGGAGGATGCATAGATATAATCTACACATTACCTTACTTATCTCCTTGAATGTTGACATGATGGTTCTAGTGAAAAGATAATTTGCCTGAGTTATTTATAATGAAGATAGAAACCACACCCCTCCCAAGAAAAACAAAAAGGATATAAACAAAAAACAACTACAAAAGAAAACTGTGAAAAAGATAGTACTAGGAGTAGAATTAGTGGGATAGGTCATAAATTGGGGTCAACTGCATGTTAATCATAAAAATGATACAGCTTTATAATTATCGGGGAGTTATAGAAACTTCAAAGTGTTAGTGATTTGAACCATCACTTGTCTGTCACTTTGTCTGACTGTGGTGGCTTCTGTGTTGCTGTGATGCTGGGAAATATTCCACTAAATCCCATCATTGACATCCATAGTTTACAGGTTTCAGTGGAGCTTCCAGACTTAGTTGGACTAGGAAAAGGTAGAGGCAAACCACTTGTGAATGCTTAGTCACTGAACATCTTAACGAAAAGTAGCAGAACATTGTCTGATATAGTGCTGAATGATGAACCCCTCAGGACAGAAGGTTCTCAAAATGCATCTGGGGATGAGCTGCCTAACCAAAGCAATACTGACTTTAATGAAATGAATGGAATAAAGCTTTCAGGATTTTCATTTACTGACTGGGACACAATTCAATGTGAGAAGAAACAGCTGTAAGCATCCGTTAATAATTGAAATATGGAAAGTACCATGTATGAAACTAGAAAAATTGGAAGTCATCAAAAATGAAACTAAATGCATAACCTAGGCATTAGTGAACTGATATAGCACATTTTGAATCAGACATCCTATGATTTACTATGTAGGAAATGACAAACTGAAGAGGAATAGTGCCACATTCATCACCAGAAAGAACTTTCTAAGGAGCTCTGATAGGTAGTATAGTGGTACGAATTGGGCCGATAACCTTAGGGTCAGCAGTTCAAAACTACCAGCTGTTCTGTGGGAGAAAGTTGAGGCTTTCTCCTCCCATAAAGCTTTACAGCCTCGGAAACCCTTTACAGGGTCACTATGAGTCAGAACCTACTGCATGGCACATAACCACCAACCACCACCAAAATCCATCATGAAGTACAATTCTGTCTGCTCTGGGAAAATATCCATATACCTACAAGGAAGAACAAATGTTGTGCTGCAGGATAAAAATTGCGTTAATTACAAGATTGGCAATTCAGATCCTCCAGCCCCTTCTCAGAAAGCCTAAACAGCACTGCTATGAGTCTCAACCACCTCCATAATACTTAACAACAACAAAAACAAGTAAGATCAGTTAATATCACTATTATTCAAATTTATGCACCAATCACAAAAGTCAATGATGATGAAATTCAAGAATTCTACCAACTTTTTTTCATTCTAAAATTGATCAAACATGCAATCAAGATGCATTGATAATTACTGAAGATTGGAATGGTAAACTCGGAAAAAAACAAAAAAGCATCAGTAGTTGGAAAATATGGCGTTGTTGATGGAAATGATGCTGAAGATCGCATGATAGAATTTTACAACATCAACAACATATCTATATGTTGTTGCTGTTGTTAAGTGCCAATGAGTCAGTTCGAACTTATAGCGATGCTGTATAGAGTTTCCAAGGAGCAACTGGTGGGTTTGAACTGCTAGCCGTATGATTTGCAGTTTAGTGCTGATCCTACAGTGCCACACCGAAGTCCTATTTATTTATGTGCAGCACTAGGCAAATCTGTTTCACAAGACTTCTTTAAAATGTTTAAGATTTGAGTTTGAGGACTAAGGTATGCCTGATCCAAACCATTATATTTTCAATAGTTTCATATGCATATAAAAGTTGGAAATAATTAAGAAAGACTGTAGAAGAATTGATGCAATTGATATATTTGAGTCTTGGTGTTGGGGAGAATATTAAAAGTACCATGGACTGCCAGAAGAACAAACAAATCTGTGTTGAAAGAAGTACAGCTAGAATGCTGCTTAGATGCCCAGATGATGATACTTTGGCTCTCATACTTCAGACGTATTATCAGGAGGAACCAGTACCAGGAAAAATATATCATGCATGATAAATTGGAGTCTCAGCTAAAAAGAGGAAGACACCTAATGAAATGGATTGCCACTGTGGAAGCAGCAATGGGCTCAAGGGTAGCAATGATTGTAAGATTGACGCAAGACTGGCTGGTGTTTTTCATTCTGTTGTGCATTAAGGTCACCCAACTCAACAACAACTAACAACAGCAACACCTTTTTTCAACAACATAGAAGACAACTATACTGTGAACCTCACCAAATGGAATACACAAGAATGAGATTGACTGCATCTGCGGTTAGATAAACTGGAGAAGCTCACTGCCATCAGACAAAACAGTCAGCAACTGACTGAGGAATAGACCATCAATTGTTCATATGCAAGTTCAAGCTGAAGCTCAAGAAAATGAAAACAACCCCATGAGAGTCAAAACTGGACCATGAATAAAC